GACGGTCTCACGACGTTATGGCGGGGATCATATCTAGGATTCCGTGTATTCGAAGTTTATTTCCCATTAAATTGGAGGATGTTTTTCGGAGGTTAAATTTTTCTAAAAAATTCGGAGTTTATCAGAGTTTATTTTTGTTCTATTCCCAATTCTCCAAAAGTCGAAGCAAAAATTTGCAGCATTATCAATTTTTTTTTTCAAAAATAAAAATAAAAAAATTCGACAGGGACACTTAAGATTTCTTACGTGCAGGAATGCAAAGACATTCCTACACGCAGCGCATTCCTACCAGCAGCGCGCCACGTCTTCCTTTTGCAGGCGGCGCTCCGGCGGTGGCATCCAGCTAACGCACTGCGCAGGCGCAGCGCTCCCGCCGGCTCCACGGCTTCCGTGACGATGCCTCTGCGTTGCTGTGCTTTTCTTTGTGTCATATTTCCGAGGCGCGTTCGCTTTGACCTTGAGCGGCCGGCCGGCTTCCGTGACGATGCATCTGATGTGACGCGTCACAGCCAATGGGAATTTAAATACCGTTTCGCTCAGCCAACGGGCATTTAGGTGCCGTTTTTGGCTGCTACAGCAACGGCTACAGACGCCGCCGGCCTCGCTCCATGGGACAGTTAATGCTTTCGCATTAAAATAAATATTCTCCGGATGTAAACGTACGCTAAATTCAAGAAAACGTCCTTTTGTCAATTAATATTTTTTCAGCTGAATTTGGCGTTGGAGGGAGCCATTGTCACTGGCAATACTAATCTGTCCCAAGAGAAAAGTTGCAAACAAGTGTTGCTTTGGTATATGTCGGTACCTTAAAATAAACTCCTGGAGGCAGTCGCTGGGAAGCTCGTTCAGCCCATCCTATCCATTAGCCTACCCCGCCCTGCGGCTGCTCGTGGTGGAGTGGTAAAGGGTTTAATATAGAAGCTTCAACTGCCCACCCATTCTTCCCCATTCTATGAAATCTATATGATTCATAGCTTTCAATGTTACAAAAACACGTCTCCTCCTTCCTCTTAGAAGCGCAAGTGGTATGGCCGAAATTGGAAATCAGAACAGGGGCCTTTTTCACGACCTGAAAGTAAAATGACCTGTTGTTCTGAATGAACCTTGACGAGACAAGCGTTGAGATCCCTTTTGTGAATGTTACCAAGATTTGAAAATTAAACTGGGCTTACATTTTCTCACTGGTCAGACTTAAAATTCCGTCTCTTTTTCCCTTTTCTTCTGGCATTGGTAGTGTACATAGAAATTCGGAGTTTATCGGATAAATCCGAACTGACAAAAATTTTATCAGCGGGTGTTTTTCGCAAAACACAGGATCAAATGCACCGAAGAATAGAGCATCGGAGGTATGACGTCACGACTTCGCAAAGTTGTCCATAGATGGCGCTGCGGGCGCGATGAAACTCTTCCCCTCGAGATTACTTCAGTTACCGCAAGGTAACTGAAGTAATCTCGAGGGTAAGGTAACTTTTAAGGTAACTTGCAAGGCAAGTTACCTTAAAATTCAAGAGCACTAAGAGCTCAAGGCGCTATGCGCACGCTCGGAAGAAGCAGAACCTATGGAAACTCCGCAATAAAACATATACCGGGTGTTTCTCGGAACGCCGGTCAGCTCACTCTTCCGAAAAGTACGCATCGTAGAGAAAATGTTTGATTTCATATTGGTTTCTACCGAAGGCCTATTTAGGAAAGTTAATAACATTCGGAATAATTAGGCAATTAAATGCCCAGGGAGTTTGTGCCGGTGGCACGTAGCTTCTATGACGCCACTCTGTCACGTGAGATCATGACCCCCGTGACATTATGACATTAAGGGACTCCACGACTCACGTGATGTCGCGTGACGTACAGTGTCAAGAGACATTATATCGTCACGTGACGCCATGATGTCATGTGACACCATGACCTCACGTGACAACATGGCGTCACGTAACATCTTGACGTCACGTGACGCGAAGTGGCCCTATAAACGGTTTGCATTTAGAACGCCTTTGGAAAATGCCAGACAGCCAATTTTTATTTTTGTCCTAATGACGTTTTGATTAGTAAATTTAAATGTACAGTGTACTCAACTGTTAAACATAACGCGGTAGCGGTGGCCGGAGAGACTGCATGCGCCATCTACCGGCTCACTCTGGAAGCTTATGCCGCTGTTGTTTTCTGGAGTTACACTCCCAGCTCCGAAACAATCACCGATGCCGTGACTCGGCTATAAAAAAAAATATCGCTTTTTGATTGTTTTTGTTGTTGTTTAAAGAAGGTGGCCTTTATTAGAGAAACTGCAAGATCACCGAGATATGGTAGCCCGACATGGTAAATGCGTAGATGTGTCTAAACAGACTGGAAAAACAACAAAACAAACAAGTAAAAATTTAAAGCGCGGGTGACAAAGAAAGGAACGAGGAGGTCGTGCGATAATTGTATCGGGGACTGGCGACAATCCCAAGAAGAGCCGGCTTATTCTCTGCCGCTTCATTGATTTAATCGCTAGACAGCTCTGCTATCAGTTTCGGCCACTGCTCCCGCGTTATGTTCAACAATTGAGCAGACTGTACGCTTTCAAGTAAAAACTTTCTGGGTACCATCTCAAACCGCTTAATTGGTGCACTTTACACAAACATAAGGCACTTCCAGCGTTTTACGAAGTTGATTGATTGATTGATTCAGGTGAAACGAAGTTTATCCGCCTCGCCTTCCTTGTAAGAGCAATGAAAGTGTGGCGGGAGCCGGCAATATGAAACGCTGTGCTGTTCGAGTGACATCGCAATACACTTTGATTCTTGGCTTCACCTCCATCATGAGAAGAACGCGTAGCAGCACAGGTTAGTTGCGCGCTTTGATCACGTGGAAGCGGAACCGCTGCCCCGGACATTCCACTTACTCTACTCCTGAATAAATTGAAACTTGTCGCGATAATTTTGATAATAGAGAGTTTTAGTAGATCGTGTTTTCGGGTCACGCTGCTTGTAGAGGGAGCTCGCGGTGCCGCTCCGATGCGTGCTCTGAAGCGCGCGCCCGTAGCAGTAGCGGCTCTTTGAAAACGATCTACTAAAACTCTCTAACCGCTCATTCACACTGGAAGCGGATCCGCGTTCGCAAAGCGGTTGCGAACGCGGTTGTATAAAGATCCAGTACAATTGCACGTGTACTCGATGACATCGAATGCGCGTGCAATAGTACTGGATCTTTATACAACCGCGTTCGCAACCACCTTGCGAACGCGGATCCGCTTCCAGTGTGAATGAGCGGTAATACCGGAGAGCATAGTGTGTCGCGTGTGCAACCCATTCGAAACCCCCCAAAAGCCCCCGTAGCCAAGTGTAACAGATCACAAGGCACCCATAACGCACGCACGACACATTCTCTTCTTCCCGGATTTATGAGAATAATCAACGCCAGTATAATTTATGTACAACAGCTCCAGTGAAGGTGGGATGAAAAAAAATTGATTTATAATTGCAATACATTTTGGAAACGTCGCATTTCTGTTGCGTATTTATTGAGAACTACCTGGGGCAAAATAGCGAGAAAGTAGTTTGAAACTTAAAGAGTAAAATAGATAATTACTTTTAACGCACACAAAATAAGTAGCGGTAATCCATTAGATTTAAGGCTGAGTAATACCCTAGCACACAACAAAGTTAGTTAGGATGGGGAGCTGATTTGCCGATCACTTAAGTGCCATTCGGTAGAAGGGAGATCGACTTTGCTGTGTGACAGGCATATAAGTTGTAATATCAGTCAAGTAGATTTCCAAAGTAACAGGTCCAAGTTTGGTTCCGTCACACGGATCATATTTTTAGCAGTCTACAACTAAAAGGCTTGTAGGCTTGATGCGGAAAAGGGGAGGACGAGAGCTTCCCACTAACAAAGAGTATCGATGGTACTTTTTGTATCAAAACCATAGGTCACGGTTATTACAGAGTGGGACAGCGATAGCACGAGTAATACAGGCGTAGTTTACAATAGTAAACTGTTTTATACGAAAATTATCGATACGCTTTTTCAGGTGAAAACAATAAAAAATCGAAAGAAAAAACAATATCACCAAGTTTTCTCAAGGTGTCAGTTAGCACTTGAACGCTAATGCATAATACCCATTTCTGCCACATCAATGACGACCATATCCGAATAGTTTTGTTATCGATGAGCTTGCGTCCAATTGTAATGCGCGTGCTGAGCGCACACTTCATATTCGAGGTGAAGCCCCCCTATTTAATTAATCTCCAATAACTTTAGCCATAACCATCACTGCTCCTCTTGAACTTGTGCATGGGTACGCTGTACACTGCGCGACAGAGTTCGCACGCGCACCACATAATCGGCACTGTTTCGCTGCCGATGCTTTCGAGGAGCATCCATTTTTATCGTCGAGGTTCATGCCTAGGATCAGCACATTCCGTGTCACTACGATAGTTTTGATGGCAACATTTTAGTTGCGAGAGGAAAACAGAAGAAAACTGCTAATCACTGGTTCCCTCTAAACGTTGTCATGCTCCGTACATTTAATTTCTTTTCGTGTTTATCAAAAAAAGAAAAAAAAAAAAAGAAGGGAGTACATCTGTTTTTTTTGTTTTTTTTTTTTCTATTTTACGGATATAAAAACAAAGTATTTTGAGGTTGCAGCTGCAACAGGCGAATCTACACCCCAAGAATAATTAGAGCGATATCTATGTAACCCATGTATGAGCTCTCTTTTGCAGGAAGCTTTACATATGCTTCGGCCGATCCTCTGGTGTCCCGTTTAAGGATTGCTCCCCTTCAATTGAAATGCAGTTCGACTTTGACGTCCAGTGCTTTCGACTGGCTGCAACAGCGGAAGTAGACTGTCTCCCTTACCCCCTCCTTTGTTTTTCGATCAACTCTTCCTTATTTTTTTTTCCTTGTAGGGAGTTACTGGACACGTAAGAGACGACTGGTTACTGTCTCCCGTCGACTCCCGTTTGGTTTTTGCTCTGGCAAGCTCTCGGTGGCCGGGCAGAGATAGGCGGAGCACTCACAGACGTAGACGAACCTTCCTGGCGCGCCTTTGCAAAACTGCTTGGACTTGTAGGACAGCGTGACTTCCACGACGCCCGGGATGTGCCGAGGAGGGGTCTGCACCCGGATCGCATGCGACGTGATCAGCTGCGCCAGAAAAAGAGAGAGACGCGGAGTGTCTACAAACACGTACCACATCATGTATTTGCCACACTGAATTCCCTTTTCTCTGAAGCCGCGGTCATATATCTGCTAAGACAGCATACAAAGGACAGAGTGCAGACACTGCTTCCTTTTCTGATGGTCGCATCGGTCATAACTGTCTGCAGTCATGTTCCAAGCATGTATGAAGCAAGCATGCTCGGAACATGGGTGAGGCGTGTCCGCCGATAATATCTGTCATCATGTCTGCGAAGAGCAAAGATGACTGAGTCGCGTCCGCAGACATAATTCTGTCATCATGACTTCAGCGAACACCCTGTGTCTTCTATAATGTCTGAGCGGTGTGACGGCGGCTTAAGGGTTCATAGCTTACGAAAGAGAGGGTATAGTGCTCGTCCTAATAATCGAACTGTCAGAAGGCTATCTATAAAAGAGATAGTAGAATCGTACCGGAACGAATCCTAAATCGATGAGTAATAGGGATAATATCTCGGATTCTGGGTGATTATTCTCATTTTTTTAATAAAAATAAAATGTTTCACGCGGCACCAAATGTATTCGTAATTTTTTTCAGCATCTTTTTTATTAGTGTTTGTTCCTGTGTAGGTGCAAGCCGTCAACTGGTGTTGTCTCGCTAGTTTTTCTTCGTTTTTTTTCTTAATCTTTTGCCGTGGCAATAGTTTGCACGTATCCGCATGAACCGTGTCTTGAACCAAAACACATGCCAAAGACGGTTTTAAAACCGCTTTTTTTTTCATTCTTAATTACTTTTAATCGCCCATATTTTCTACAGCATACGGATTATTTTTTGTTTAAAAATACAGCATGCAAAACATTTTCTAAAACCGCCGACATTGCGGCCGAAACTTTATTTGAGAATAACAGAGAGAGGTTGTATGCGTGCCGCTCTATCGGATACGAATGCGTCGCATTTCACAGGTCTGTGTACTTTGTCTCTTGCAATCGATAAGAATGTCACTAGTACAATTAACTTACTGACTGTTCGATCGATTTCGGAGACAAACAGCAACATGTTTCTATAAAGACATTTTGTTTTTTCCGATTCACGCGCCACTTGTTTTAATGATAAAATATTTCGTTATACACGTGACTCTCATACATTTTGTCGGTGCAAATTGCTTATACCATAGCTAGTATAATATTTTTGCGGAAAGGCATAAATCCTTACGTTTATAGGTGCGTTCAATGCATTCCGATTTAAGTATGTCCTATGGCCCACTTATAGCACATCATATATATTGAGCGCAATAAAAGCGCTTGTTGCGGAACGACTTTTTTACATTGCAAAATGTGCTGGAGCCGTTTCTTGTGCAAGGTTAACATGAGTTCCTTAAAGCAGAGCCACCGTCACATATAGCTCAAGTATTTATCTAGTTCCATAAATTTTTACTTTCAACGCACAAACCAATATTTTCGCCCCACTTTCTTCTATCTTGCGTAAAAACAAACATAAGGCGGACTAGACTTTTCTCGCAAACGGGAAACAAATTTCCCTGAATGCAAAGCCTTCGCTTCGCGGGCCTCCGGGCGGGGCAGCACTGTCAGCTGGAGATCACGGGCGCGATCACGTCACGGCTGGACGAACACGGAAGAAAAAACACTGGGCACGTACCGTAATCCCCTACATTCGGCGACGTATTCCGCCGCTCAATCGCTTTACACGGCGTGCGTTGAATTGCCAACGTGAGAGCTGTCGATGGCCTCGCCGACGTTATCAAGCTCACGCGGTTTCGCTTGGCCCTCTAAACAGGCGCCGCTGTTGCTCAGAATGTCGGAATCGTCTAATGTTTGTCACTGGAAACAAAAGGGCTGGAGAAAATTATAGAGTGTTTCAATGTTCGCTTGTGTCACTCTTCGTGCTAGTATGTGATTGCGACAACAAACGGTATATATATATATATATATATATATCTATATATATATATATATATATATATATATATATATATATATATATATATATATATATATATATATATATATATTATAAAAATAGAACGAATAGTTGGATTTAAACTGGCGACGAGGTGCTGACAAAAGCTAAGAACTCGGATGTCGCTTTTTTATGTCGTCCAGGAGAAACGCAGAAAGAAATAAGCGTCGTGGTCTAAAATGACCCGATGTCGCCGCTCTACCAATAATTGACTCCAATGCGTTGTGGAAGAACGAATAAAGACCGGAAGTCTACATGGGCACCGATACTGTGGTGCCCTCGTGCTATCAACTCACGCCGAACATGGTAAGCTGGTCACGTGACATAGATGTAGGGTATGCACTATACTCCATTCAACCTTAAAGGGCTACGGAAGCGAAATGTTTTTACTTGTGTCTTCGTTTAGATCTGGCCTGTTTTGCCGGCAGCCCAGGAACAGTAGTCTAGACTAGTGTTTCGGGGCTGCCGGCGGACAAGTCAAGAAAACTAAATTTAAAACGAATGAACGGACTTCAAAATTGCGTCTGGTGGCGGTCTGTGAGACTCCGTTGGAATGCCGCCACGTCATGAGTTCCTAACAAGCAGCACCAGTTCGCGGCAGTACGGCTCGCTTGTGGAGTTACTTAGCCCTGAATGTGACTTGGCGGAGAACGCTAACGAGTTTGCTATACCCCGTTTCTCCTTAGTAGACAACGCTTTCAAAGCTACTGGCACGAGCGCATGGCTTCATATATATGGTTACCTTTGCTCAAGAACGCGTGTAAATGAACTGCGAGATCAAACGCGACCCTCGCGCCAGCAGCTTTGACAGCGTTGTACACAAAGTATGAAACAGTGTATATGTTGTATACGGAGTATTCACTGGGCGCCATATTTGTGGGTGCTGTCTAGAGCGCATGCTCAGAACGAGCCCCCATTAATAGGCTGCTAAGACCGGCCATTTCGACGGTGTGGAATGCACGTTGCAAAATAACCCTGGAAGCTAGCCATCAGCACGCGTTCAGCAGTCGCGCACACAGCTACGGCCGCCAGTGAATACTTCCTATATGTTAAAGCTTCCATAGTGCTTCCGTAATGTGCATTCCACACCACCAAGATCGCCGTGTTTCGCATACGATAGGTATACGATCTTTATCTGATGATGTGGGGATCTCTGCCAGGCCAACTAGTAGAGTAGATGCACGAGCATTTTTTAGAGTGCAAGAACTATAATTTCAACTTGCATGTACTATAACTTTTTAGCGTTCCAAGAAGACATGGGAAGTTCGTTAGTGTTTAATAGTCTATTTCTATTTGCTTTCTTTTTAAAACTAGAATGGTATCAAAATCGCACATAAGGCGTTAGGCTATAGTGTTTGTTCGTAGCGTTTCTTTACATTTGTGACCTAGAGAATGTTTACCTGTTTTGTTAATGGGCACAAAAATAAAAGGATGACGATGTTGACATGGTGTGTTGATGGAGACGTCGATGTAGTAAAGGATGCTAAGTGCACACTTTGAGACGTAAAAGCAGCCCTGGTATATAATGTACACACAAAACATATTATATGTTTTTGTACTAAAGAAGGAGCTTTTCTAAAAATAAACGGCTTTTTTTCTTTTTTAGTAGCATTGCAGTGCCCTAGTTATGCATCTGGTAAAAGACCAACGACGTGAGAAGATAAAGCCGTGTAACTTCTTCCCGAGTCGTTTGACTCCAGGGCAATGTTGAGCGCATGTACTTGCGTATGTTCAAGTCTACTTAATATCTTCTGGAAAGAACAAGACCTCAGCGTTCGTCAGCAGCAGTACGACGAACGTGGTCATAACGTCCAATGTACGGCAGAGAAGGGGGACACCGGTGCCGGCACACTCACCTCGCTCCAGACAAGCATGGTGCCGAAGACCACCTGAAGACCGTCGAAGAAGTTGTCCCCGACGATGATGACCGTAGAGCCACCCGTGGTCCAGCCTTCGCTGGGGCTGATGGCTTTGATGCACGGCGTTGCCGCGAACGGCACTGCACGACACATGGAAGGCGACGCATTCACGTCCTCGTCCACCGGGTCCGTCTGTAAAACGACTCTCCCGGCGCTCACCGCTGCCCGCCGACGCGACCGGGAAGCTCGGGAGCGCCCGAGAGCCCCCTCAAAACCCCTGATTAGGGCCAAAGCGACCAATCCGCGCTGCTTTTCAACCTGTTGTGCGCGCCGCCAACAAGAGCCCTAATAGGATTTTCGTTCGAGATTAGGGCGCCTTCGGGGTCCGGGCAATTACGCGGCTTCAGCGGGCGCGGGATTTGGCGGGCCGCCGATGTCGCCGCCTGCGATTAGGCGCCCCCGTCGCGGGCCCAGGGCTCGGAGCCGCCGCAAGCACACACGACGCGATGTCCGGCCAGAGCGCCGCGCGGCGCCCGAGGTGACGCGACGACAGCGGCCAGCTTGCAGTCGGCATCGATTTCTGGGCCTGCCCCTTGGGACGCTCCTGCGGGGAGTGCGGCCACGCAGACACACGCGGACGCCGTTGACGCGGTGCCGGAGCGTCGTCCGAGACTGCGCGCGGCGTGGTCAGGCGGCGGCGGCACGGGCGAGCCCATGCCGCTTCCGTGCGAACTCCGGTCTTCTGAAAGAGCCATGGCAGAGCTCCAGGCCTGTCCGTACAACCGTGCGAGACACAGCTATCCTCCGTTCGCCTTCAGCGCGAGCTCGCTGGCGTTTGCAGTGCTTTGGTTGCGCGTGCCTGCGCGTTCACACTTGTGTTACCGAGGGCAGAAAGCTCGCGCTGAAGGCGGAGCTTCTTCTCTCAGCTTGAAGGCGAACGGTACCGGAAAGCATGCGAGCGGAGCCCAGTGCGGACAGTTAATTCGATATCCGTATCCGACACACATCCGTCAACTTTATATTCATGTGGCGCTTTGTTTGTTAATAAACTCTCATCCAACCAGCAATTTTTTTTTTTAATTTTAGGTTTGAACAACATTTTGCTTCAGTATGGCTGTACAAACGAAGCATTCGCCTTTTACGTAATTGTATCGAAACCAGTGTTTAGCCTTGAGACAATATGTTTTGCAGGAAGAAAGTTATACGAGACAAGAAGGACGTACATGGCCAACTTTCTAAGAGCATTCCGGGGAATAAAAAGTAAAAAGAATTAAAAAAATCAAAATTCTTGTTGATCTGCATTGTATGATACCCACGCAATTAAATTTCCTTGGGAACATTAGGACCTTTTGTCAAAAAAAGCAAGAATTGTCAATTTTGTGATTGTGGCCCATATAATTCAATGCAAAAAAAAAAAAAAATTGTAGAACCGTGGAATAAAAACCATACGCGTCCAAAAGTTTAATTACGGCTTACTGATAATTTATGACTGTTATCTAACGCACGGGAGACAAGAGTTGGCGCAACGAATGCCGCCAACGATCGAGCACACGGCGCCGAGGTAAGGTGCCTGGAGCGCGTCTCCGAATGGTGTGTTTAGCGTCCTATCCCGCCCATACATCAAAAGTGGTCCCATAGTTGCAACAAATGACGTCTCAGAAGCCGGAGTGCCATGCTGCTGCATGTCGTGATACTGGCGGTTGGTCGTAGAAATGCTGGCGAAAAGCGCGAGCGAACGCGAGTGTCGCTGTCGTCACGGCGTCCCAACTTCCGGCTGCTTTAGCTTCCGTGGGCTGCCGCAATGGAGAGCGACCTGCAGCAGAACAGGCGTCTGCCACAAACACCACAGCTGTTGGGACGCCGCCAGGTTCGTGACCGGCGACAGCATGACACTTCTATGACGTCATCAGGCGGAAATCGAGGGACCACTTTTTTGGACCCGGTAAACATACCAGTCGGAGACGCGTTCCATCCAGGCACCGTAGCCGAGAGTCGGCGTCTTTAGCAGACGATCTTTTCGACTCAAAAGCGGCGCGCGTTCCGCAAGCGGCGGCGGTCGCAGAACCAAAAACAGGCTCGGTAACAACAAGGGACTGCAGAGCAGACAACATAGGTACCCCGAAAAAAGAACAGTCAAAATAACCCGACAAACCATTTTTTTAATCGATTATGTGTTTAATCGATCTGTTTTATTAGTAAGGATGATAAAATAATGCATTGGCAACTGACATGAAAAAAGCTCGCGCCGCTTTTGAGTCGAAGATTTCGTCTGCTGAAGACGCCGGCTCTAGGCTCCCTATGCTCGTTTGTTGGCGGCAGTTGGCGTCGCGACCGCTTGCGCCATCTCTTGTCTCCCGTGCGAAGCGGCGCCGTATTGTTTGAAGAACGGTGGCTTCGCTGCGTTTCCATAGGAGCTAAGCGTTTTTCTTTCTTTACTTTTTCCTCAGGTAAGTTCCCCCCCCCCCCCCCCCCACTCTTTGCAAATTTTACAAAAAAAAAAAGAAAAAGAAAACATTTGTGGACAACGCTGTACAAAGTCGTAGCGCGATAGGTTAAGAAACCGAATTTTGCGGTCGGTTTAAAGAGCCTGGCCGCTCCTTGAATCACCCAATAGAAAGACTTGCACGTAGAAAAATGGAGGATGGTCACGCAGTGAACAAATTATGGCTATCAAATGTTAGATTTCCCACTCCCACGTTGGCTAAATAGTCTGCATTGATAATATTAATTTTAACAGCTTAACTTTTAAGGACAAGCGCTTATATTTTTGTATGAAATTAATATTTTAATTTCACGTCTTGTATTTAGGTGAACCTCACTTTGTACGCATAAAAACCGTAGATGTGCGATGTTTCTACTGTATAAGTTGTCTCCTTATATTTTTCGCATGCTTGCTGTTGGCCAAAGTAAGGTGCCCGAGGACCAGTCAAGCTGCCTATTGCATCTTTTTTTTCTTTTTTGGCTCTCCATCATAACCATTGGAAATAAATAATGTTATTAAAGTTAATCGTCATCTAAAAGGGGCTACAGCCCCGGGAGAGAAGTAGAGGTAGGGGGAAGGAAGGCGGAAAGTTCAACTCAAGAAACTTTTCGGAATTACAACTTATTTTTCCTAAAAAATAATGAAACCAACAATACAGTTGTCCTGGAGCCGCGAGTGATGAGCGGCAGTTTTGAGCTCCGAAACTGCAGACTTGAGCATCGAAAAAGTTCAGTAAAGCTTACTTAAGGTGTGCTGGACGCATTTCAGTACATGCCTGCACCTTTCTATTGCATAAAATCTCCACGTGAAAACCAGCCATATATATACTCAGAACCTACAAGCATCATCAACACACTATTCCACTTCTATTTCTTCGACACTCACTTCTTTAAGACCATTTTCCCCAAATTTCCGACGCGGAGTGTCCTGCTAGCCGAATTCGCCTGGACTCTGGACTAAATACCCTTTTTGTAATTACTTTCTCTACGTCTACCTGCCTCGTGTATGTATCATTTAGCCTGATTCCGCAGTAAACCCTCCGCACGTGGTCCACTCTCCGCAGAATTTTCCTAGCATTCACCCGAATCAGTCAGGGGGATTACAGATACCTGCAGGTGCCCGCAAATAATCAACAGGTGTGCAGAGCTCTGCATTACAATGCTTGAAGATACTCTCGACCAAAATCATGCCGCCGAACCTCTATGAAACAGACGTACACGCCCGTACAAGCCATAATTTCTTGGAGAATATTTTCAGAGGTACTGGAGCTATTAAGTCTCGTAAATAACCAAAGACGATTAATGAAGAAATAAAACAAAAAGAAGAATGAAAAGACAATCGTGCGGCGGCCATTAATGTCGCTCCCTAAGACCAGCACGAGCCCAAGAGTTGTCTGATATTTGTGTTTCCTTCTAACGGTTAGTTGTCCACATTTGTTTTTGCCAGCCTACGTCCGTAGAAAACAACAATTCTTCTTCTTGAAGCAATCAGCAGCGAAAGTAATAGTGTTTTCGTTGCTTCTGCACATGCCTTCACTTCAAGACCACGTGTAATCGTGGCCAAACTGTAGATCTTTGGAGGGGTTTACAAGGCAGACCTCCCATATTAGAACACCGCAGCGTTCCATTTTCTACGTCACTCCTATGTCGCAAAAAGGAGCTACTCGTTCCCGTTCGTAAAAAAATAATTGAGGTCTCTACTTGATTACTGCTGAAAGTAACGATCTCCGAATAACTCGTACAAGTCTAGGCATCTGTGCCTCTTTGCGTGTGCCGAGGTCACAGGCTGTAGATGGCAGACCTTGACCAGCACGCCCCGGGTGCTCATCTGCCTATCAGCATGAAATAAGCGAGCCACAACTCACCTTCAGTCGGGTCCAGACGCTTGGCTCTCCGACCGTGCTTGGAGTTGTTGTGCACGAACATGTTGTCCGACACAGCCAGCAGGGGGCCTTCGACGTTCACCTGGCTCGAGATGACCACCTGTGCGGAGACGGCGAGCGCGCTGACAGCCGCGCTTTTCCAAAGCGGGGTCGTAGAGGCGCTCGGGAGAGGCTACCTGCCTGAAACCGGCGCATGTCTCGTGGGTTGCCGGCGTTCTTCAGGCAATTCTGGTTGCACTTGAGGAAAAACTTGAGGAAAAACCTGCCAAGAAAAGAATGAGACACCATACTCTCAGGCGATGACAACACTCTTGAAACACTGAGGAGCTATCTGGGCGTTTGCCGTAAAGCTTTTCTGCATAATATATCGCTTTATATACCGGCTGTTTTACCAACCAGAAAGATGTACTATCGGTAATAAGAAAGGGAACAGTTAATCTTTCTTCTTTCTAGTTTCACAGCTCCACAACCTTCGTTAAACCTGAACCTATCAAACAGCGGGTTTGGGATCTATACTGTCCGTTCTAGTCCTCGGCGGAAGCATAACATGTTCCAAAATTCGTAGGCACGTCAAAAAAAAAAAAAAAAGTTTTTTCTCTTTCATATTGTTGTCTGTAGTACAAAAAAAAAATAAAAAACAACCTGAAATAAAGAAATGAATTCCATCAGAATTACGTTATCGACAGCGGCGGACGTCAGGTAGGGAGCGTAAAGTAACTATTAGAAAATTACTTATATAAACTTTAAAAAATTTCAAATATTCGCCTTTGCTGGCCCACTCCAATAAGAAATGTGTTGCTCGTCTTAAAACTACAACATAGCAGATGTTAGCATTCCGACAACTATTATCTAGGCAAAAGCTTTCCAGAGTTCGTCCTACCGAAATTAAGGCAAACAAATTGCTGCCGAAATCACTGCGTAGATTAATCGTTGAAGTGGACCGACTTGTACTGCGTAAACCTTCCTTTCTTAATAAACTGATAAGACACGGCTGTGGGAACTCTAGGAGCATTTTTCGTCGACGTCCTTAAAGTCTTCTATCAAACTTAACACCAATAAACATACTTTTCTTATCAATCTGTCTACTTCCCCTCGGTCGGGCCTCCTGAGACCAGCCAACGACTTTTGTTGTGGCCTAATGCAATTAAAATGCTTCAGTCTTACTATATGAATCTAAACATAATAAGACGTTTGGTAACTGTATTTTCCGTGCAGGTTCCCATCTCATCTAAAAACATTCCACATAGTTTTCTGAGCTAATGTTGTGGGACCCGCTTGCTTCCCTCCACCGAGCAGGACGCGAGTACGTGACTGCGGGTCTCGCCCGACTTCTCGCCGGAGCGTTCCGTATCGCGTCAGGAAGAGGCAGTGTTGGAAGTAACGCGTTACTATAACCACGTCACTTGTAACGCGTCCCCTTTTGGAGTAACTCACTAGCATACTCATTAGGTGAATAAATGACTAACAAGTAAAGTATTTTTATTACTGTTTTATGGTATCGTCTATCAAATTCCGTTACGCGTTACTTTTTTGTTTAATATTGTTTTTGTTTTAGCTTAAGAACAAAACCATTCACATTCTGTAAACTTACGGCGAGCAAGTGTTCCAAAATGCGTCGCATCGGAATAGAAGCAGGAGTACGACAATCAGAAAGCGGTAAACAGACGCACGAGCTGCGCAAGGAACAGTCGAACTTGCGGGCCGTATTGTTTTTTTCTTCTCGGAATCATTTCTCAAACTTGATTAAGAAAAAAAATATTATACATATTTGATACCAATATTACAATAAACGCTATAAATTCACTCTAAAAGTTCAACTGTTGCTGACTTTCGTTTCCGCGGCTTATCGCTGTCAAATAACGCTGAAGTTGCAAGTAACGCAAAAGTAATGTTCGTCAGTTTTGTAAGTAACGGTAACAATGTTTCTTTACATCAAAGAGTTTTAGCAAACTCCAGGTACGACACTGGTACGATATCGGTAAAGTTCGGGTGCGGGGTCATCGCTACTGCTCATGCGCGACGCTACCGTATACGCGTACCGGCGTACCGGCGATCTGCTACCGGAACATACGAGGCTATGAAGCCTACACTAGTGGGGCGAATCATGCCCCTATTATAAATACGCGCTTTACAAACGCTAGAATTTGTTGATTTTCGCGTGCAGATTGAACTAAAAAGAAAGCAAAAGCAAAGGTTAGTACGAGGACTCGTTCGAAAGAAAATGATTGAGGCTTCCACGTGCAGCTTGGTTGGACAACTCCATCGTCGGTGGTTTTTTTTTTTTTATGATTATGGTAGAACACTTGTTGTTACCCCACCAGGACCTTCTATCGGGCATCTTACCGGCGCTACCGGCACCACCCGCCCGTACGATACGTTGAGGGCGAACCGCGATTCCGGAACACAACCGGTGCAGAAGGCTTCCGTAGTCTCGCGAGCTCGCGAGACTTATTCGTCAAGCTTCTTTAATTCCCCGGCCGTGCCCACCCCATCTACAGTAACGAAGGCCTCCGAACGCCCCACTCTTCCTCGATGGAACATCATCACAGCCGGACGGTGCCAACTTGGCAACTGGACCCGAGCCGGATGCCGAGCGTCCTTCGACGCATTCAATGGACACGAGGCCCAGCCGAGCACTGACGTAACACTCGTGTCCAGTCTGTGCCTCCGTTTGAACTCACTGTGATTACGTTAATATTCCAGCGCACAGGCTTTAATTATTCTAGGTGGTGTTGGCCGTGCACACAGCGGGTGCTCAACCACGACCATGTTTCGTGCCTATCTCAATCCGGGTTTGGTGCAGCCTCGCTGTGCCCGGAAGCTAGCAACGACCAATAAAGCTCCACACACGACATACTTACTGAGGGCTCCATGGCATCGTGTGTAGTTCATAGGTGATCATTGATTGGTTCGCGCTGATATCGTCGGTGCGTGTATTAGATTGATTTTATTTCTATATACTAAAGTGCAGGGTCCGTGGTCATAAATGGATGCCTTCGCAGTCGCAGTGCACGCAAATTCCCGAATTCCCCAACTTTTGCCCGTTCCCATCGAGCATGCGGAAATCCAATCGTCGCGATCCGGCGACGCTTTGAAAGCCAGTGCGGCTGGAGCGCTTCCGCTGCCCGGGGGCCCGTGAGCATTCGACTCCCTCAGCTGGGAAGTCCAGGTTTGGAACTCTGAACAGTCCTTCGGCTTAGGCGTTTGCAGGCCGAGCATCGCAGTGATTGACCCCCCACGTTCTGGCCAGAAAGTCCAACGTGAAGACATTTGTTTTAAAGAAAACAGAAAAACTAAGAAGTAAAAAACAAAACAAAAACAACATGGCTCACTAAGTAAAGGCAGATTCATTACCCAATACGATTTTCAAACGAAGAATTTGTGAGGTTGTATCAACAAAACCAATAAGAAGTCAGGTGTTTCTCGTGTTTTTTTTTTTTCGAGAGGCGATGCCTCGTGTCAGTCTACATTACATAGTTTGACACATTCATACGCGATATGAAGAGCGATCGATTTATCAAAATACAGCTCTCAACCGAGTAAACATAATTAAAACAATATTAGCAAGGAGGTCCGCTTAATATGGGAGACAAAACCTGTGACTCTGTAGCCGTTGAAAAGAAAGAGGACATATTTTGTATACATAAATGCGTGCCAGACTTAAGTAGATTGCATGCGATTAAGTTTGAGGCACTCTTGCTGAAGAACACTGCCAAAAGAGATTCCCGTTCTGGTGAACGCCAGAGCGTACCCATGGTAGAGGCGTCGGCACAATCCCGGCTATTGCTCCTCGCACTTTAATCCCTAGTCCGGCGGGCACTCATCTCAATTGCTTCGTGCCCACGCGCGCTCCCCGATCTGAAAACCCTGATCTCGAAAGCCACACGAGCGTCGACTACACATCACCCGTAACATCATAGACTGCGCGCTTCTCGCTTCGTAAGTCGTGGCGAAGGTCGTTGAGCATATGCTCTATCTTTATGAGGCCGACCGTTGTGTGGTTTGCACCACAAGAAATAGAGAAAAAGCTCCAAGAAAGTACCACTTTCATAGAGCTCGAATGACATGCTCTGTGTTACCAAAATTATTTATTTGATTTACACTCTCTAACAATGTTAACATGTTGTTGTTGATGGTTTTTTTATTGTTTAACTTGCGTTAGGTTTATTTTTATTCCTGCGACGACGATGGACGACATGGGGGTTACTAGACAAGTGGCGAAATTGATTAGCCAAATAACTAGAAGGTTTTTACTTACTTCTTTATTCAAAATTTCAGTTTGTAGAAGCACGATGTAGCTGGGAAATTGACGCTTAACCTCCTTATAGTCTGGCCGTAATGTAAAAGGTTTATTACATAATTTGTAGCGGGCGTCCCGGGGCAAGATATGTCATCCATGTAAACGGTTCAGAACAGAAACTAACTCGCCGAAGCTCGTCTGTGATGTCAATCCTTCCTCTCTGCTCTAATTGCATCGCACTGTTCACGTGACCTATAACGTGGACACATGAGTTGCGGAGCCGGCGCAGAGCAGAAGGTTCGAAGTCACTAGGGAGTTTTAGTAGACCGTGTATTCCCCTCCGCTAAGCCCCTCCGCTACCCGGAACTCTACAGCCAAGGCCACCGGCACGCAGGCGCAGTGGCGGTTTTTCTCGTTGCGGAGGGTTATCGGAGGGAGAAACACGGTCTACTAAAACTCCCTATTGACTCCTTTCGGTGGAGTACTTTCGGTTTGAGGCCATCTTACGACATTTCTCTTCCCCGTCATGGCTAAACTATGAGGAGGTCCAGCATCAATTTTGCAATTACACTATACCACAAAAATTTAAAATTTAGACACGTTAGGGAACACGTTTTAGTCAATTAGCTACGTATACACGAACTCATCTCTGTTACGTCACGGCACGGTGGTGGCGCGTCGGGCGCACTTCCGGTCTGGGGCTGTGGGCGAAAGTCCCCATGTGAGACGTCTATTCCTGCGTTCTTTTGAAAGGAATCAGACAGAAACTTGACTTCTCGTCAAAATGCCGCGACTATGGCTGTACCAAAAGAGTCGAGAAAGGTTTGAAGTCAGTTTTTATGTGCTCGGTTCGTCCGAGGACGTGAATATGTGCCGCGAAAAGAAAAAGCTAGACGCCGTCGGACCACGATTGCTAGGGCGGGAAGCACTTTGGGTTGAATTCACGGATACTTGTGGTCATCAGATTTTTTTGTTCTGTTCCAACATGAACTCTGGAAAACCGTCAAGTTGTACGGATCACC